ATGAAACAAACGAAAAAATCGGTTTGATGGATCATTTTTAAAAATAAATAATATCTAATCTTTTGAAGGTTCATGTCGTTTAGAAGTCATATGTTAGTATACACAGTCATTATGCAATATTGAAATTTTTTCAAAAATAGAATAATTATCCATTGGGAGGCCATTGTTGGCTGGCTAGGCCGCATGTGCTGCCATCGTACGACGAGCCTGCATCCCTGGCGGCGCATATCGATCAAAGAGAATATTTTCAATGAATAAACAAATGTGAAATTCGTCTCGGAATCCGAGAGACCCCTTTTATAGCTTATTGGAACGACAAGTCAAATGGTTACGCTCTCTCGATTAGTTAAGACTACTCAGCAAAGCTCAAAAAAATGCCTGAAAGTCAACCAAAGCGCGAGGGCCTTACTCAATGACCGAACTTCGCTCCCTAAACTACCACAAATGTGCGGATCTATGCAGCGAGATCGCTGCGACCTGAATCATCGCGTGGCGGATTCCACGCTCGCAGGCTAATCTACTATACTCCCTAACCTATAACCATCCGTCATCTCTCTGCCTTATCTCTAACCAGGAAAGGTCATCTTGGTCACATCCGGCCAATTTCAAGATGCCATCATGGGATCTCTCCAAGTCGCCTGACGTAGCCCAAAACGTTCCTTATCTGCTAAACTCTTCTCTGAAAGGAATTATGAAGCAGAAAAGCGCAGAGGCAGTGGTCGAGGCTCACGAAAAAGAGGTCAGGGGATCGACTCCTTGGCGAGCTTATTCTTTTGCCGTTTGCAGTAAGATAGCTAGGAAGATCCCTAACATCGGTAATTGAACATGCTTGCGTATAGCTAACCGTATAAAGAAGTTAAGGGCAATTAATAACGAACTCGGGCCGGCATCGCCCTCCACTATAACGCTTGTAGCGTCACCGTTCAGGCATTTTTTTGCCTTCGGAACAGTAAATATCGTCATCCAGGGACTGCCCTTGAGCAAGAACTTCTGCGATTCTCGAATCGAACCTAATTTCGAAAATCGTGGTCATCTTATGCCTCGCTTGTCACACTCAATTACAAACGCCTGGACTGGGGTAGAACAAACTTTCGAAACACTCCTCAGAATAGACAAAAACTGTATCTTGGCTTCCGTCTGCATACACCGAAGATCTGCAAGGCATTATTTCCTAATACAACCCTCTTTTTCTCCTCTCCCCCGTCGTCCATGATTGGTCAACCCAAAAAAGTGGAGTTTGAGGAGTGGTAATCCCATCACTGCTCCGCTTTTTCTCAATTAGTTCATGACCTCAGATTTGGCGAAAAACTCGTTTCTAGGGGTAGTTTGATCCCCTGAATACGAATATCGTACCTACTTGCCACGGAAAAGCATAGCACCTGCACTACGGGCACCATGGCACTCACAGACAAGTAGTGCTCGAGCTTAAGAGAATTTGCTTGCAAACTCTTTGTAGATGTAGCGTCGGGCAACCATTGATAAATAACGGATTCAAAAAGGCTTTTTTTAGCCTATGTTGACAAAAAGCAAAACACCAAACCCCGGAAGGAACCGAACCCCCAACCCCTTGCTTGAGAAGCAAGACCGCTACCAACTGCGCTACCGAAGCTCACCACATCCCTGTTCGGTTCTCCTTTCGATACTTTTTATAATGGAGCTAACATGTGATTGCAGGCAAGACACTGAAAATCAAGGGCGGCAACAAAAACCCTCCGTAACTCCTTTCAGAGAAGAGTTCAGCAGATAATGAAAGCAGATTTGAGTTCAGCGTCTCATGCTGCGTACAGAAATGTGCACCTCATTTCATTTGGCCGGGTTGGCCTAATGACCTTTCCTGGTAAGCATGGCAATCGTCCGATGAACGAATTTTTTCGAATTTTCGTGTTTCTGCAGTTTCCTTTCCTTTCTTTTTCTCCGCTGGCAGTCTAATCTCCACTTAACATTTTCAATATAATTTTCGAGTCGCTTATCACTCCTTCGATCGTGGTGTCGCTAAGCTGATAAGTGCATATTTCTTGGTTGTTTAAGCTTGGTGTAAGAGCTGATACCACTCTCAAGCTTCTAGCCCATGAAAATGACCTCCTAGGACTATCAATGCCCTTGGGAATAATCAATGAAGCAACGACTCTTGAGGAATTGTCGGGTTTTTAGAAAACATAGCTCCACTTCCACGATGACTGCCACAATCCCGGTAAATAGTCACAGAACCAGGGCCACTAGTGAAGTCGCGAAAGGCACCGATCACCTCGGAATCAGTTTGAACTCCCACTTTCGAACAAATTCGAAATCGGACGTCTTGGGGAGGGGGGTCCCTCATGCGACAGCCTCCCCACATCCACAACCCTTGTAGGGGTCCCCATGACGACAACGGCCTTTTAAAATCCAAAAACGACCCCTTGCATTCAAAACCATAGGGAAGATCTTCTTACAGGGGCCGTAATGGTATGCTTCCCCGAAGGGTTAGGGGACGAAAATTCCTTTAAATTTTCTCTGTCTTCCCAACTGGGATTGTCCTGATAAAGGGCCTACATTTAATATATGTGTGTAGCTTAAAGTAACATGCATTGAAAATAAAGAAACAGTATCGTTCAAAACAAAAAATTTAAAGGGACTTTCGTCCCCGCAAGCATTCGGGGAAGCATACCTTACGGCCCCAGATCTCCCAGCGTTGGATGATCCTGCTCATTTTCGAAATGTTTCGATACGCTCTAGAATAACTTCTAGCTAGGTTGACGTAAAGTCTAGTCTATTCACGCCCTATTCAAAATTTACATGGCGTGTCTCTGAACCCATCGAGGAGGCGTCTCGCGGACCAAGCAAAACCTTGCAAAGCAATTTCTCCGCACAGGCATTTTTTTCTCGGTTGACAAATGGCATGACCGCGCAATAGGGAAGGCGCTTCAATGTCAACCAAAACGGAGTTAAGCACTGTCTCTATGGAAGCGAGCGGTAGCCTAGGATAAGAAGAAACTGAGAGGATTTGCTGCCCTGCAGTCGAACTTGAACAAATTCGTCTTAACGAGGTGCACGAATCGTTTAATTGGCCTACTTAACAGATGGAGTCTGCACATAGTCCATGCACACATGCCACGATTAGGGCTATCTTAGAAGCCAATCAAACTATGCAACAGAGTTCGGAAAAAAAAACTCAAGGAGTCTTTTGAATTGCCCCTCTCTCGTTTTTATCCTTTACAAGTTGGTTAAGTCGGACGTTGACCCATCAATTATTGTGACTCAACTGAGGACGACTGCTGCCTTTTTAGCGTCTGATAGTATTTCTATTCGAATATGCTCTGTATGCCTACCAAGCGCGTCCACTGGACGTATAGAAATAAATAAATAAATAAATAAATAAACAGCAAGGGACTGTAGAAGGTCCCATTCTTCCATTAAGTGTCAATGTGGGCCAGTAGAGCGAATGAGGATTCAGGGCGGTGATCTCTGCAAGAGAGGCGATAGGAGGCTCGTGCTTCCTCACAGACGCACTCGGAATGATCGTAATAGTCATGGCGTACCTTTATGATCTTAGTGGGGCTTCTACATCATTTCACAAAATATTTTAGAAGTTGTCGAAACTGTTGACCTTAATCAAGTACATGCAAGATAGTAAAATTTTCAGGATGAGATATCCAAGCCCTTTGGGACTTGGAGGGTTTCTAATCGCTTTTTCGAATCGTTTATTTTCGCTTTTATAATTCATCATTGTGTACCTAACCCTTTTCATGGATTTCCCTCTATTTTTTTTTTGGGGGGGGGGGGGGCGGGGATCTCTCTCTTCGATAAAAGAGCAGAAGTCCCATAGAAGCAAAGGGGACCAAAAGGTTGGAATTGATCGACCCCTCCGGAGTACGCCACGCATTTGAAATTTATCTACATTCGTCTAATTTAACAATTATCTATTCTATAAAATTACTTGTGATTTTAAGCCGTTGTTCAGACCAGCTTTTTCTCCTTTCTACTGAACCATAGTACCATTTCGCTAAATCAAGGAAGAGAAGCCTGGATCAGGGTCATCTAGATTCCTGAATTAAGCTGGAGCCTTTCGAGCCCTTAACCCGTATTTTTTTTTGAAATTCCATTAACTTTTCTTGTCCTTTTGCGAAGCTACACTTCTTGAACGATAAGTAGAACAACTTCCAGTTTTCTACTCAGTAATCACAACTGGAAGTTTTACTGCTAAGTAACTGCGTTGACATGGTTACTGGCCAAAACACAATTTTTAAAAACTTCTCCTGGCTGTTCCACAGAGCAACTCGGAACGGGACAAGCTCAGCTAGATTCGGGGAACTCGGTGGACTGGGTTGGCGTCTAGCGATCTGTGACTTGCGCACGGACTGCCTCACGCGCCATATTTTCTCGGCAACTTTGTTTTTATTGCTTTATACATCTGGAGATTTACAGGCCCACATATGAACGCCATCATTCATACAGCTATACTTTACTGCAACAAACTCGCTCTCATGCCCCTAACTCGATATTAATTAACTATTAATATGAAATTCCTAAGATTATACTTCATTGATCATTACAACCTTGTTTGCTTGGAACGCTGGCCGCTATTTTTACATGCAAAACTAAGTGTTTGGGCTATCCAGGCAACAAGTTCTTTCAAATGCGCTACCAATTATGTCAGGATGTATCTAAACTCTACTTGAAGTTCCTGTTTAGAGAAGAGATTACTGTTCATCAGCTAAACCAAAAACAGTGAGCAGCCCCGCCCACTAACCACGCCCATTTTCGGTTCACATATGTTTTCTGTTACTTTCACTCTCATCTGGCCGACTTTCTTCAATCACTACTGGTTTTCATTGACTTTCTTCCAAATGCTGGCCTCTCCGTGTTTCTTTCCGATTGAATTTCCCCTGCTAGTCTTGATTTCAGTACTTCACTATTTTGTACTTTTCGCTTATTCTCCTCCTCTTCCTCGTCCACCACCATCATCGGCCCACTTTCTCGGCAGCGCCATCTCAGCCTAATTAAAATTTCCCATTTCTTTACAGATGATGGAGAGAACACGAGTGCAGTTTCAAGTTAGGGTATTACGACTGAAATTATGGGAGAAAATGTTCGTCTGCGGTTCAGATATTGCACTTGGCGAATGGGATCCACTAAAAGCATTTCCGCTCACTAAATCCCTAACCGACAGGTATGATTGATTACTGTAAAATTTCCTGTCGCAATCACGGCATTTTCATGAATATTACGTCATTTCACTTCGAACTTGTGCAGGGTTCTTTTTGCTCATAATCGTTTCTCGCAGTGAAACTACAATTTTTTTTATTCATCTGCAAATAAAATCCAAATTCCGTTAATATGAAAGATCAAAAATTGCTTTTCTTAATGTTTCGATCGATATTAACATACCCGAAAATATTAGAGGTACTCAGTGCTTATTAATAGGCATTGGGATGCGCCACGCGTTCGAGTTTCACTCAGAATTGTAGGAGTTGAGGCCTCCTAATACCTACTCATTCTACAGTACTTTCAGGAATCAATCGGTATTCATTTCAGAGGTATTTTGAGACAAGCCCCATGGGATTCACAATAGCAACACACATGAATGCATCTCTAGCCGCCATATGACGAATTAGAGGAATATTTCTCGGAGAAGTCATTATCCTGTTTCACCATAAATCACTGGCTTGAGACCCATCGTTCACGATAAGAACGAAAAGAACAAAAAAAATTGCATTTGTTTTGGTAAACAATTCGAAAAACCGGAAGGACTGCTACGCGTTCAAATTCCCGCCGGACATCTGTCACAAATGCTGGCGGCGGGAACGCTTCCACTTGGTTCTCGGAGTGCCGTCACTAGAAACTCTTTTTGCCTTTTGACTTATTGCATTAACATCTCACACTTCTACTGCATCCTATTCTATCGATCGATTTGTCTCTACTCTCCAAAATCGCACGCTTAACCCGATTCTTTCAATGCGTCGCCTGATACGTGGTCGCCTTATTTCCTCCGCGCGACCTACCCTCGACCGTCCATGGAGTGTGGCTTTCGTATGCTTGTTTCTCTGGAAACTGGATCTTTGCGCGAAACTTTGTATGTTGTGTCAAGTGGTCACACTGACATAATCATTTCGAAAAATGTCAATATTAGGTGTTTCAGAAAGTTCTGTCGTTTTCCAGCCCCTAATTTTAAATGCACGTATCTCGGCTTGGGCTAAACCTTTCGAGTTGATTAAAAAACCATTTGAAAGCGCGAATCTTGTTCTATAAGAAACCGTTCAACAGGGTACGTTTATTTGGAATGCTGGACCTCTGGAGGCGATGAACTGAGGGAAGGTCGTTTTAGCATCATGTTGGTTTTTGATGTATTTCTCTTCAAGGAAGCTATCGAGATCAAATTTACAGTAGATAGTAAAGGTCTACAAGTCGATGTTCGCAGAACCACTCTGAAGTTCAGCTGGTACAACTTGTGAAGGGTTGGCCGTGCGATGTGCGTTCAAGACACCTTTCAGGGATGTGTGTGTTCCTTTATAATGAGGAATGCTGGACCCATGTCCTAGAGTTTTTGATGATTTTTGAATTAGTATAAAGATTGATTCTCCACTGTAACAGTTCCATCTGATACTGAAGAACATGGCCAGCCGCTGGCCCCATGAAAGCTGCCACAACCCTCCTCCAGCACAGTTTAAATTCTGCAAAGTTTGTAGAGCTTCATCGCCGTCGATCTATTCAGCAAACTTTCGTAGACTATAGAGAAGAATCCGCTCTTTATTGTACGTCGCAAATCTGTAGAGAAACGAGTCGCTTTCACCACATAAAACAGCGACAATTTGATGGACGATGCTTCAAATTGGTGATTTGTCGCGGCACGCCACTATCGAATTTTTTAGACTTTCCAGCTTCTTCCGTATAGCTTGGCTGTACAAACCATATACGCCCACGTTGGGCAGAACCTCCTCTATGGTCTTACGCACAAGTGCTTCAATCAGAACTTTTGGCTAATCGGAGACACCGTCCGATGTCCGACCACTACTCTCATCATATTCAAGGCTCTCGCCTTCCTTACAATAAATTTTTTAACTACTGCTTCTGAGCACATTTATTGCAAATCTAGGCCCAAAGCATCGTTGATATCTTGAACTGATCCCGCCACTTTCAGGTCTATTTAAAGCTAGAAAAAGAAAGTCATGCCAGCTTGCTCCTCGAGTATACTGAATTCAAAGCTTTGAAAAAGCTATAAGAAAATATTTTAGGATAAAGTTGTGCTGAGCATTGGATAGAGCTGGAAAAGTTCTTCAAAATGACATCAACATCAATTGCAGCTTTCCTAGATTTCAAGGGAAATAAAGCATCCAAAAGTGGAATGTCAGAAAACGACAGAACTTTCTGAAACACCTAATAATTTCGGGAGGATGCTAAGGACCAGTGGTACTGACCGTACTTAATCGCGGCCTCGCTAGTGGAACTGACCACGACCGAGTCTAACCTCGGCAAGAAAGGTTCGATTGAGTCGACTAAAACCCAATTCGCACATCTTGGTAACTATGCTTTCGCCACTTTCTCGCAATCCATACACTCTTTTATTACCGACTTATTACCAGCGTTGAGCCTCGGAATTATAAGTGGCTAAAGCCGTGAGGAGGGTCCACTCTCCCCTTGATTTTTGAGCCATTTCATAGTTCTCAAATGTTTTCTTCATGGTTATTTATAGGAAAATCCCAGGACTTCTTCGTGAGCAAATTAGCCAACGTTGTCCTTCGGAAACCTCGAAAAGCCGAAAACCATATTCAATGCCCGTTAGGGCAAGACGTAGTGCTGAAAATTTGCGGTCCGGTCGATGCAAACTTGATAAAATTTGCGTTCCATCCGCTCCGGCGGCGAACGCAGGCCATATCGATCATATGAGAGAAGGTCCAATAAAGGAAAATACTTTTGATGACCATACTAGTAAATTAGATCCAATTCAGAGCTTAGTGGTAATGGAAAAAGATTTACCTTGAATGAATGAGGCCAACAGCGGGCGCATTAAAAGTAAGGGCCGTACGATGAGGAGAACTTAGCTTCTACTGCCACATATCGCATTAGCAGAATATAGACATAAGGAAAAAAACGTACTAATTGTGAAAGAGGAACGGTAGTGGTAGCGGCTAACCAGAAGAATGAGTTGGAAATACATGAGGGGAAATTGCAAAGATCTTTTTCGGTATCCAATCCAGATTACTTATTTCATCTAACAGTTGAACAGATCATGGCAGATCGATTGAATAAAAATGCAGAAGAAATCGATAATTTGTTCTTAACGCTTAATAATTTCTTGAAGTTTCTCAAAGTGCTGTCATGCGGAACTTTGGTGCCTAGAGAACCTTAGAGAGCAAACGCCTCATAAAACTTTAAAACCACCCGAAAGTAAATAAAGGTCAATTGATTGCCGGCTTTTGGTGGCAATATTAGCAGCAGTGGTGCAGGGGCAAGAGGCGTCCCTGGGGCCTACACCATTCCCTGATTGAAGCACGCCACTAGCCTCGCTTTCTCCCTCAGTCATAAAAAAGTGTAAGGTTCCTCCGAAAGGGAGAAAGGAGGAACTGATTTGGGTACAGGTTCATCCCGAAAACTACTGTGTAGGCAGAACGATTCTGAACAAAATTTGAGTATGTGGCGCATCCTAGGGAGAGAATCATGAGAAGAAACTCAATGAAATTCTCCTTTAGTTTGTCTTTTGCGTTTATTAAGAGTTTTACGGAACCAGCAAATTTCTTCAAGAACGTCTTTAAAAAAAACCTCATTAATTCTAAGTTGCAAGCGAACTACTGCGAACTTACTGCAAAGTTAGAAATTTGAAGAAAATGGCGAAATCATTGGTGAAATGTCTTTCATTCGTTATGAATCCCATTTACAGCTATCATTTGGTGTTCTCAGAAAGTGTCTGATTTCTGCGTATTTTCAGTGATGTCTGGACGGGTTGCGCAGAAATCTGCGACCCAACCAAGGAGTTGAAATTTCGTTACATGATTGGTTACTACCTCGATCCCTGTACGGAAGGCAGTAAACAAATGCTAATAGTTCACAAGTAAGGCATCTTGAATCTCTTCTCTCAGTCTATGAATCTTAAATCTGTTAGAGTAGGTGAAACTCCAGTTCGGGGGGGGGGCTCCATTTTTTCTCCAATACTCAAGATAAGGATTAGAGGGCTCACGACACGTAATCGACTCATTTAAAGTAGACTTCTGATAAATATCGGTGTAATGGTGTGAGAAACCCTGAATGTTTTCACATTTCCGCCTGCCATGTCCAAGGGAACGGTCCTGGACCAGGAGAATGGACACCTCTGCCTAGGCCTAAGGGCAGGGTCAACCGTGCGTTGGACAAAGTCCAACGAGGGGGGGGGGTCGTATTTGGGGTGGAAAAAGGGGGTCGTATTTCGCGAGGTAGCGTTAATGTTACAGTAAGGGAAGTGATGATGCAGTTGGTTGGCGCGCTAAAATTTTGCCGTTTCACGGTGTGTATAAGCCCCCGCTCGACGGTAATTTTGGAGGAAAAAAGTGGGCGGAGTTTGGGCTGTGTCGACTGGTCTCAGAATCGAATACTATAGAATGAGCCCCATGATGGCGATGGCAGGCGAGGGTGGTGAAGGGTTGACCCTGAGGGGGGGTCGTATCGAGGCCCTCTAGAAGGGGGAGGGGGTCGTAAAATTTTCGAAGGTGGTCCAACTTGACAGTTGACCCTGGCTAAGGGTGGAGGAACTCCAGGGTGGATGACCTGTGGATAGGATGTGGGCAGGTTGTGTGGAATGTAGGACATCCACCGGTCCTTATCAAAAGTACGCTCGAAATGAGTCGTTCACTTATTATCTTATCCGTAGTGTTCGATAGCCCAAAGAACTGCTCTCTAGTACTACGGATAAGATAGCAATGGAGTGCCCCCCCCCCCCCGAACTGGAGTTTCACCGTTAGAGAATAAGTATGTAACTAGCGATTCAAAACTAATTCTCCCCATTTGAACTCAGCTATCGGGAAATATAACTAAGAAATGGAAGAACTTCTTAACTTCACTGTTCAATAGGTCGAACCTAAAGGCACACTTCATCATTAGACCAGTGGTCCAATTACTCCAGTGAATAAGGTTCCTAGGTGAATATAGAGCTGTTTCAGCGACTAAAACCCTACGCCATATGTAGGTTCAAGACTTTCATCAGCTCACGCCTCTAGATCGTTGCACCTCACCCTTGCGGTATCTTTGTTCCGCTGCCCTTGCTTTTATGTATACACTCTCTTTCCGTCTAACGTCCTCTCATCTCGGCAAATAGTGCTCCCCTTCCTCCCCCCCCCCCGAATTTGCCACCCAGATTCCAATTGCTTAGAAAATAGTAGGGTCTTACTTGTGGCGTATTTAGCGGTTCTTTATCCTTTTTTCTTTAACTGCAAGTCAACCAACTACTGTTCAACAAGAGGGCCCAATTCGCCCCTTTTTGCTATCGCATAAGGAGCATTTAATGATTGTTTCGAGTTTCAGATGGGAATCTTTTCTCATACCACGCTCAGCTCTTCCTTTTCCCAACCAAAAATTGGTTGTAGATGACGTTTTTGGAAGTTACTGTGAGTTAAAAGTATTATGTAGTATTATATCATCTTCGACTATCCAAAATTCACTTAACCCTAAGTAATAAGTTTTTGTGATTTTGCAAATACTTTCAGCTGGAAGCACATTGTTAACGGATGGATGGATTATTCACAATGAAGAAAATGTAGTTCTTTTACGGGTTCACGGGGAGGTGAGTGGTCATTGTGTTTACTGCCCTAACAACAAAAAAAAACTGTGAAAAAATTAATAGCTGGTATGACTACATACAACTTTGTCAATGTGTTTCTGAGAAATAGAGAGAATGGAATATCATTACCACTTTGTAGCAAACAGCTCCAAAATAAGCGTGCCGGCCCGCCTATCGGCCCTGCCCCAGGATACCTAGGAAAGTTGTTCCATGGCCTCACTACAAAGCTGGAGCAAGGTCCAAAGCATATCAAACGATATTTTGGGTAGAGGCTATCGCGACCAAAGATTATAGAGGTCCGAAATGGGTCGCTCCGAAGCGAATGGCAGTGAAACCCATGACAGCCCTCGAAATACACTCATTTGCGTGGTCGGTTTGAGGGGACGTACGGGCTCAACGCGAAGAAAGCAGGGTGATTCAATAAGCTTTCGTTTGCTATTACCATATCAAAATCACTGATACTACCCATTTCTTCTGTTAATCCTAGGCTCTTTTTCACCGGTCAGCATCCTGATGCTTCCTATTCTACCGTAATCAGTCACAAACCTTCTTTACCATACGGTTATTATTGAACAGTAGACAAAACGCCAGCGGATGTCTCATATGGCATTTTTGCAGCTTTTAAAACCAAATTTGGTAAACACCACCTGTCGCTGGGAGGTTCCAAACTAACTCTCAGAGAGATGAGAGAAAAAGAAATAGAGAGAGAGAAAGAGTTCATCCACATGCCTTAACGTCAAATGTGCCTTTGACTTGAAGCATTTCGACTTCGTGGCCTTGAACTACCACACTACAATTAGAACAGCTGAAATGGGGCGTGTTTGAATCTAGTTATTCAGACGTGTGCTTTTCTCTGCTTTTTTCACGGTCTAATTTCATGTTTTTCAGGCTCTGAAATTTTACAAGCCTTCCCATAGGGGCAAAGAACATCGTGTCAAGATAGTACCTTTCGACGTGCGCTTCAAAGAGGTGCAGTGCTCTTTTGCTTTTCTATCTCCTTATTAGGTGTTTCAGAAAGTTCTGTCGTTTTCTGACATTCCACTTTTGGATGCTTTATTTCCCTTGAAATCTAGGAAAGCTGCAATTGATGTTGATGTCATTTTGAAGAACTTTTCCAGCTCTATCCAATGCTCAGCACAACTTTATCCTAAAATATTTTCTTATAGCTTTTTCAAAGCTTTGAATTCAGTATACTCGAGGAGCAAGCTGGCATGACTTTCTTTTTCTAGCTTTAAATAGACCTGAAAGTGGCGGGATCAGTTCAAGATATCAACGATGCTTTGGGCCTAGATTTGCAATAAATGTGCTCAGAAGCAGTAGTTAAAAAATTTATTGTAAGGAAGGCGAGAGCCTTGAATATGATGAGAGTAGTGGTCGGACATCGGACGGTGTCTCCGATTAGCCAAAAGTTCTGATTGAAGCACTTGTGCGTAAGACCATAGAGGAGGTTCTGCCCAACGTGGGCGTATATGGTTTGTACAGCCAAGCTATACGGAAGAAGCTGGAAAGTCTAAAAAATTCGATAGTGGCGTGCCGCGACAAATCACCAATTTGAAGCATCGTCCATCAAATTGTCGCTGGTTTTATGTGGTGAAAGCGACTCGTTTCTCTACAGATTTGCGACGTACAATAAAGAGCGGATTCTTCTCTATAGTCTACGAAAGTTTGCTGAATAGATCGACGGCGATGAAGCTCTACAAACTTTGCAGAATTTAAACTGTGCTGGAGGAGGGTTGTGGCAGCTTTCATGGGGCCAGCGGCTGGCCATGTTCTTCAGTATCAGATGGAACTGTTACAGTGGAGAATCAATCTTTATACTAATTCAAAAATCATCAAAAACTCTAGGACATGGGTCCAGCATTCCTCATTATAAAGGAACACACACATCCCTGAAAGGTGTCTTGAACGCACATCGCACGGCCAACCCTTCACAAGTTGTACCAGCTGAACTTCAGAGTGGTTCTGCGAACATCTTACTTAGTAGACCCTTGAACTATCTACTGTCAAACTTCTGACGATCTCGATAGCTTCCTTGAAGAGAAATACATCAAAAACCAACATGATGCTAAAACGACCTTCCCTCAGTTCATCGCCTCCAGAGGTCCAGCATTCCAAATAAACGTACCCTGTTGAACGGTTTCTTATAGAACAAGATTCGCGCTTTCAAATGGTTTTTTAATCAACTCGAAAGGTTTAGCCCAAGCCGAGATACGTGCATTTAAAATTAGGGGCTGGAAAACGACAGAACTTTCTGAAACACCTAATACATCTTTTTATAGAACAAATGAAGTGAATTTAGTAAAATAATGAAAATATGTCAGTGAAAAATTATCGCATAGCAAAGTTTGGCATCAGAGGAGGTGTGTAAATGGGTGAGACCGCTTGCGATTAAGCGTTGTCAACACTGAGGACACTGATAATAGCAGTTATCATACTAAAAGACGAAGAAGCTAGGACAAAGTTCCAGCTTCGACTAACCCCTTTTTGGATGTGCCATGCATTCCAATCCCATTCGGGATCGTACCAGCATTTGAATGCGGCCTATACAATGACTTGCGGGGGCCAGCCGATGTACAAGTCAGTGTTTTTATCCTCCCAGACAAGTCTGGTACCAATTAACCGACCCCGGAGGGATGGAAGGCTTGGTTGGCCCGGGCGACTCACGACCCAGGATTTGATCCCCGGACCTTCGCGAAAAGTGGCGCCACTTTCTACTACACCATCTCCGCCTCTCATGGTAGCTAATATCTACGTGAGGGAGCGACAGAGGAGAGTGCCAGACAACGGCTCGTTGCGAGGTGGGAAAACTGAAGCTGTTGAAACTGCTTCCGTAAGGCTTTAGCGCCCTGTCGGGTGGGTACCACCTACGGGAGTGCCACATCAGTGATTGCCCTCGACGAGTCCATCCTACAACCAAGTAGGGTGTTCGCCTGCTTCTTCCGGGGTTCTGCCTTTAACTCCGCTTGGCAAAACCTAATATACACCGTTTCACCATCAGTTCAAGGGTATGATGTCCGATGGCCGCAACGCGACCGCCCTTGCCGGAACGCCTCGTCTAATGTTGAGAAATATTACGTTTTTCGAAGTTATGCTCTCATCTAAAAATAAGAAAACGGTTTACAGATTTTCTCATACGAGGATCGTCATACACGTAAGGGCATGCTGTGGAGGGCATCCTCTGTCTACCAAAACACTGTATTCAACATCTCTATCACAACGCTTTGCACATCCATTACGTTACAGTGTCAGATGCTGGTGATGTTATTGATGGCGAATTGACGTCGTCGACAGCATCATTCGCTTCTGTCATTCATTTCCCTGAAACCCGTTCTTCATTTCAACATAAACGCATGAGCTTTATCGGAATAGATCCGCTTTTTCCATCCCGCCCCTTTCCAATGGCTATGCATGCGCTTTTCCGTGATAGTGACGTACCATGTGCTGCAAATTTTGAAAATAGATGATGATATTGATCGATTTATGGATTCAGATCGAAGGTGTGGACGATGACTGCCTACCGGACCCTGATCCGGTTCTGCCTGATGTGCCTAGCTTTTCCAATACTTTATTGTCGGTGAGTTCAGATTCTGTGCCAAGGGTTCACTATGCCAGATCAAAGGAATCTTGCGCGGAAAATTCTTGCACTCTTTCCTAACATGAATATGTCAGTTGTGATCACTAGAAACAGCACACAAAGTTTCACGCATGAAGATTCAGTTTTCGAAGAGAAACAAATCTACAAAGGCCACATCATGGAGACGGTCGTGGGTAGGTCGGGCGAAGACAAGAGGAAGCATAGAAAGAATCGGTTTAAGCTGTCGAATTTGGAGAATAGACAAAGCATAAAATAAGATGTGGTAGAAAAGATACTGTTGTTGCGATAGGTGAAAAAAGAAGAAAAAGGCCAAAAAGATTCCTAGTGAAGGCACGACGCAAACTAATTGGAATTGTTCCCGACGTCAACAATTGTGATAGATGCACGGTGGGAATTTGAACGTGTAACAGTCCTCCCGGTTTTCCAAATTGTTGTCCAAGACGAACACAAGTTTTCTGCTCATATGATGGGTCTCAGACCAGTGATTTAGGGGTGAGATAAATTTTTATGATTTTTCCATGGATGATTTCTTTTAGCCTGACCTATCAGCTCCACTCAGTCACGTCAGTGTAAGAAACTTCTTCACTTTCAGGTCCTCAGCAGAGAGGATCCAATATTCGGTCAGCAATACGTCAATGGATCAGTGTTTCGAAACGATGTAGATTATCTCGTATTCAAGACTCGTACCGTATCCTTAGAACATTTAGTACGTATTTCTTTCCATAGAGAAATCGGTGTGATGCCGATTCCTTGTGTTCGTCTTGTGATCCTTGAAATTTCCCAGGCGAAAATGTTGATTGAAGGCGTTCCGGATTGAGCTTTTCACTGGTATGGACCGTATTGGACTCGCCTACGCGCTGCCGGCAGCGCTTCCAGATCTCTATGGAAAAGCCACTTTTCCAATAATCTCGTTGAAAAACATTCCAATTGGACAGATCGACAGTAAGGCTTATCTTGATTTGAACTGGATCTATTTTACATTTAATAGCGAAAATTTTTTAGACGATTCGTAATCAATAAGTCAATAATAAGGCCCTAGACTTGACTGAGCACAGATGTGGCCAGTCGCTGCACGACTGCCTCGATAGGTCAATATGCATGCGTAGGGCGCACATAAGGACGCTGTTACTAGGGTGCAACACAGCCGCACGCGTCTCATACCGGAGAGCACTATCGCGATGACCATACCCTTGTCTAACGAGTGGGTTGCGAGAACGACTTGAGACGTTCGTCGAAATAGACGAATCTTTTTCTCACACATTCCTAACGAATTATTCACAGGCATACAAATTCTAGTTTGCAGTTAATCCTTCGATACATTATCTGATTTCAGTCACTTTCCCACCTACTACAATATACACCTAAAGGCAGTGAACACCATGAGGGAGTGGGGGGTGGGATAGTTGCATCAGAGAAGTTTATGAACCAGTGAAGGCGGTAGCCAGGTTGCTAAGGGGGGGGGGGGAGTGCTGGTGTTTTCAATGCGAAAATTGCGCCAACTGGAACGGTGTTAGACTTCGAACCTAAAATTAACTCATCGCCAAAATCGTCCCGCTTCCAAGTGGGTGTTGACTTGGTGTTTTTATTGTAAACATAATAACTTCATTGCAAATACATTTTAATATAAACAGCTGTCTTCTAATCTAGTCGTCTCATATATTCTGCACCTAAATCCAAGGTGAATATCGGTCGAGGATTCCTCAACGGCTTGTCGAGGATTTTCGCCTGATCAGTTACGCTCTCCCGCGCGGACATTCACACTCGCCATGCGCGAGCCGTCTGTGCTCTCCGCGCGTACGTTCACTCTCGGCACTACTCTCGCACAGTAGAGAGCCATGGTCGAGGAATTCCTCGACCGTTATTCACCTTACGTGAAACTCCTCCAGAGGAGCAAGCGAAAAGAGGATTTCATGCCTCGAGTATTTGATGGTCTCGCCTGATTTCATCTTCTCTGTCGCACTATCTAATACCTATGCTTCCACTTTTTATAAAAATCAAATTATCGTGGTCACTGCCTTCAAACGTTTTCTAATATTTTGACTTTCATACCCGTCTGTCCCGATTCGTTAGTTTTATAACCGGTTTCTAAAGCTAGTTTCATCCGGGAATATTTGTAATGTTAACATGGTCATCAAAAGAGAACGATGCTAGATTTTACCAATTATTCTTAAATTATTCTTAATCATAACTTTAATTATTCTATCTACATTTTGATTATTATTTTTTTGATTTATGGCAAACCTTTTCTCTTCCCTTTTCTCAGAATTTAAAGAATCATTTGTACGTAACATCACTATTTAGTTGATTACATGCTGGTAAAAACTTTGCCAATGGATCGATCTATACGTGACAGTATGGCGGTGTCTTGGGGAAGATACTGGAAGAAGCGAAACACACTTGAAGTCGGACATCGAGGAATGGGCTGCTCATATACTAAGTACGTTTGATACTGTCAAGAGTATAGACATTTCTGTAGTTCAACCTAACCAGGAAGGGTCATTAGGCCAACCCGGCCAAATGAAATGAGGTGCACATTTCTGTACGCAGCATGAGACGCTGAACTCAAATCTGCTTTCATTATCTGCTGAACTCTTCTCTGAAAGGAGTTACGGAGGGTTTTTGTTGCCGCCCTTGATTTTCAGTGTCTTGCCTGCAATCACATGTTAGCTGCATTATAAAAGTATCGAAAGGAGAACCGAGGCAATGGTGAGCTTCGGTAGCGCAGTTGGTAGCGGTCTTGCTTCTCAAGTAGGGGTCGCGGGTTCGGTTCCCCCGGGGTTTGGTGTTTTGCTTTTTTTCCAACATGGCTGAAAAGCCTTTTTGAATCCGTTATTTTATCAACGGTCGCCCGACGCTACATCTACGAAGAGTTTGCAAGCAGATCCTCTTAAGTTTAAGCACTACTTGTCTGTGAGTGCCCATGGTGCCCGTAGTGCAGGTGCTATGCTTTTCCGTGGCAAGTAGGTACGATATTCGTATTCAGGGGATCAAACTACCCCTAAAAACGAGTTTTCGCCAAATCTGAGGTCATGAACTAATTGAGAAAAAGCGGAGCAGTGATGGGATTACCACTCCTCAAACTCCACTTTTTTGGGTTGACCAATCATGGACGACGGGGGAGAGGAGAAAAAAGGGTTGTATTTGGGAATAATGCCTTGCAGATCTTCGGATGATGCAGACGGGACACAATTTTTGTCTATTCTGAAAAGTGTTTAAAGGTTTATTCTACCCAAGTGCCAGCCTTTTGTAATGGATTGGTGGATCGGTGAGTAAGTGACTGCCCAAATTTTCGAGGTTAGGTCAAAATTTCAGAATTCGCTAGAAGTTTGCTCAAAGGGAGAGTCTGACTCCCTGATTACGAATATCATACTTGTTCGAAGCAAAAATGCCTGGCGCCTGCGCTACAAGCGCCCAAAGTAGTGAGGAGCGATGCCGCCCAAGTTCGTTATTAATTGCCCTTAAATTCTTTGTACTGTTAACTATACGCAAGCATGTTGGACTAGCGATGTTAGGAGTCTTCCTAGCTATCTTACTGCAAACGGCAAAAGAACAAACTCGCCAGGGAGTCGATCCCCTGACCTCTTTTTCGTGAGCCTCGACCACAGCCCCTGCGCTTTTCTGCTTCATAATTCCTTTCAGAGAAGAGTTCAGCAGATAAGGAACACATATTTGAGCTCAGCGTCCCAAGGCGCGTATACACATATACATCTCATTTCAATTGGCCGGGTTGACCAAATGACCTGGTTAGACCAAGGCTAATAAAGCGTCTGTTATAAGATCAAAGTGCTGAAATAATCGTGCCGACAATGCATGACTGATTTCAAAGCAAAGTTGAGGTTGACCAAATCGAGAATAATATCGTTTTGAGAGAAAGTCAAATGAAAGGATAATCGTCATAGCGCCGAGCATTTTTTGGTACAAGATGCGCCACTCATTCAATTCCCATTCAAAAGTACAGCGGTTTCTGGATGGGTACTACGCCTGCTCATGGACCTGTAAGGGTCACTCAATCCACGGAGCGCTGGTTTTATCCTCCCAACGGCGCCAACCTTCTGTTCTCTGTCTGAGCGACTCAGACGAGATGATCGTGTTGTGATTTGGGGAAAAGGGTCAAATATCTGGTCTACATGATAAAAAGAAAATTTTGAGAAGCTGGAAGCCCTCCCGCCCCACGATTTCTTCGGAAGTGTGTCGGGTAGTGTCAGACTAAGAGACGCTATCCAAACAACCCCGAAGTCGGGAAGGTGTGATGGGTCCGGGCATAGATAGGAAATCAGACAGACACTACGGCTATTCCCTCCTCATAGACGAGCCTGGCGCCAGTCTACTGACCACGGATGGTGGAAATGGAGTTTGGAGGGGCCGCTCCGTTATGCACTTACAACTATAGATAAAAATAAGAACGCTCATGACATTTTTAAAATGTATACATTTGATTTGATGAGCCCCTCGGTGCATGATCAGGTGCTACAACTGAGCCCTATATGTATGGGGAAGATGTGGGGCGTTCACCAGTGCTCATCAAAAATATGTTTCAAGTAAGTCGTTTACTTCGCATCTTATCCTCTCTCGTACTAAGGATAAGATAACAAGGAGTACCCACCGGGTACCCGACAGGAAGCTCGTCGCGCAAAATGGCAGAGTAAGCGGACGAGTCGCAGCGCGTGCTGTGCGATGTAGGACGTGCAATGGTACATTCTATTTAACTTGACGCGAAATCACTACAGTACGCGCTGCGACTCGTCCGCTGACTCTGCCTTCTTGCCGCGCGACGGGCCTCCTGTCGGGTACTCCCCCCTCCCAAACTCCATTTCCACCCTTTGGATGATAATCTATCCACATTCTGATTATTTGACCAAACGAACGCTGGTGGCGCCAGGTATAACTGCCAGACCTTCCCCAAAAGCTTAATATGCATACACACAACTATTGAACGTGAGGCATTATTCAATTTTTTCTTCAGAAAGCGCCTATGTCGCCCTTCAGGTCACATAAGGCATACAGGTTTCTTCTTCTTCTTCTCCCTAGCGTTAGTCCCGCGCAGTCGCAGGGTCCGCTGTCTTTATCAGTCGTCGCCACTTCGCTCTGTCCAGGGCATCCTTCTGCAGTGGCCATGATTTCGCTTAGGTCCTTCTTGATTACGTCCTTCCACCTCTTCTTTGGGGCTCCTCGCGGTCGCTTGCCTTGCGCTTCGAAGTCCATTGCATTCCTTATTGGGTGGCCTTGTGGTCTTCTTAGCACATGCCCATACCACCGCAGTCGCTGCTCCCTCACCTTCAGCTGGACAGGGGCAGTCTGCATGACCGCTCTGACATCCTCGTTCCTGACCCTGTCCAGTCGCGTCCAGCCGCAGGCCCATCTCAGCATCCTCATTTCGGCCGAGTGAAGCTGCCTTTCGTGGTTCTTGTTCAGGGGCCAGCACTCGCTGCCGTAGAGCATCGCAGGCCTTACCACTGTTCGGTACACCTTCCTTTGAGCGTTCTGGAGCACCTTCGGTCGCAGAGGATTCCAGTGGATTCCCTCCATTTCATCCATGCCGCGTTGATCCTCCCCTTTACTGCCTGGTCCACACTGCCGTCGGCCGCCAGATCACTCCCAAGGTATCGGAAGTCCTCCACTCTTTCGATGCTTTCGCCATGTCCATCCACGATCGGCTCTGCACTCTCTTCGGAGGCTCAGAAACTCGGTCTTCTTGACGTTT